TGTGTGTATACGTTCTACCACCCAACTTGCCTGTATACTACAAGTCCTTACGGGCAGACACACGCACACACGCTGTAGGCTGCGACAAAATTCACTGCGGGACAAACGTGCACCCCTCCCCGCCACCCCCGGCACCATCAAAGTCTACCGTTGGTTATTCTGGGGCAAGGCCAGTCTTCTTGCAGGACAGGGCCCTTTGTGACTATTTTGCATGCTTGCAGATGGCACTCTTCGCCTCACTTGTTGTCCTCGTCTGTGCGTGCGTGCGTGCGCTTCTGTGAGCTCACATGAATCGACTGCCGGTTTCAGTGTACGTATTTCGGATATATGCAGATGAGGTTGTGGTAGTGGACCTCACAAATCAGTTGGTTTGCGAGCCGTCTGTAGGCACTATATACCTGTGTGTGTGTGTGTGTGTAAGCCAGTGGTAATTGAAAGAATTACAACGTTTTTCTTAAAAATCAATACTACGTTTTGTTTTGTCGCACTTTCTTCAGGGCCGCACCATCCGAGGTAATCCAGACACCCCGGAGAAAGCAGATACCGGAATATCGGCCGGTGACACTTTGACTGCAAACAACACCACTGCCACCGCTACCACCACCACCACCGCCACCACCACCACCACCATAAACAACCACGAAATCCCAGTTATCGAATCTCGCACCAATCAACTGCAGGCTTCCTCCCCCTCCGGCGACACTGGTGTGCCTGCGGTACCCCCGCGTCGACTCAAGCCCCAACACAGCGGCAGTACTCAGTCTCTTCGACCTGCCGGTGACAACAAGGGTTCCCCCACTGCTAGTCCCAACATTAACAGACCACCTTATCAACAAAACGGCATGCTGGAGTCACCAGTGACTCCACGCGGTGAACTCATGGACTTCAAAGTTGCCATGTTGGAGAAGGATCGCCGTATCGAACAGCTGTCCTCGGAGATAAAGAAACTCACTGCTGTACTGCAGCAGCATATGTCCGAATGCGAGATATGGAAGAAGGTACGTGGTGGGGACTTCTTTTTCCTCCTAGTCTTTCTCATTAACTATGTGCCTGGAGTTAGTAGGACTTGAACTGCAGGCACCATAACTTAGGCCTGGACAATTTTGTTTGCAAAGTAGCCGATTTTTTTTTCCGTTGCCTTTCTCGACAAATTTATGGTCCTTTTTCGTAATATCTGTTCTTATGAGGTGTAGGAACTAACTGAAGAGCTTCTCGGGTCAAATAAATAATGCTTGGCTTTTCGTTTCGCTGCTCGAATAACTGCTGTTAATGTGGTGTTTCTTTATACAGTGCTGGTTTTCATCACCTGAATATACGCACCCGAGGTCAGAAGTTATGTCAAAGGACAGTCAGATAACTCGGTTATTCTTTATGTGGTTCTATAGAAATGGACAGTAAGATTAACAGTACACGATAGGTAAAACATGCGAGGTAGAAATCAAAAGGAGGGTGGACATACATTCGAGGTGCTTAGACGAACATTCGTGAATGACGCAGACGCGTGGCTGCTAGTTTATAAGGGAATAACTACATGGGGCAGGAGTCCACGAACCAGGCGGCCAATAAGAACACAATGCAAGGAACAAAGAGTCGAAGAAGTTAAGACGTTCTCTGGAACCAGGAGTATATTTGTCCGACGTTTCGAAATCTCCCGCGAGCTCATCGTCAAGGAATGAAAGAACATATAGCTCACAGTGTAATTAAGTCGGTTCTGCCGGGATTGACCTCAGCCCTCGATCTGCTCGCGCAACGCGAGGTAGGCATCAGGAAGC